TACATATATATACATGTATATATATATTTTGGATCTGTTTCATTTTCAAAGTTTTTCATTTCGTTTACCCTTACCAAGGTCATTGCGGCTACGTCGCATTTTTTGGCCACATATATTGAATTAACAAGCTATTATCAAAATAGGTAAAGGCTGAGAATATTTGTTGCCTCATTGAAGTTAGCTTGCGTGGGAAGGTTTAGCAAAAGAACTTCAAATTAAAAAAAAAAACACAATTTTTTATATCATAATAATAATATTTAATTTAATTCTATATGCAAAAATATTACATATTAGTACTACATTCAAATTGAAATACAACATATAAACCTATATAAATAATATAAATAACTAATAGTATCACAGTAATATAAAATTAAATCAAACACACTTAATTAAATTACAGGGTATTAGAGCTGCGCTGCAGCGTCGCTTAAACGTTTCTTCTCTCTACAAATTGTTTCAGGTTTTTCATTTATTTATTCGAGTATTTCGCAGTCGACGTTGATGTCGACGCCGACGTCGTCGTTGTTGTTGTTGCTTTTGATATAAATACGCGCAGCTCTACAAGTTGTTGTTGCTGTTGTTGCTGTTGCTGTTATTGCTGCTGTTTGTTATTCTCCATATCTATTTATAGTTTAACCTTGTCGGCATTGGGACACAGGGGCACGGAAGAGCGCAAGGGGCGTGCTGAGAGAAGGGGCTGGGTGGCGGGGACTCATGATTATGCCGTGTCGCATTTTCGCTGCCAATTGACTGCTGCGTTGCTCAGCTCAACTGCGTTTAATTATCTGCTGCTCGGCTTCAGTATCGGTCTAAAGCATTTCTACATTTCTCTACACTCCCACCGCCGCGGCCGCCGCCGCCGCCGCCGCCGCTGTCGACGTCAACGCCACAGCCCCAGTTTGAAACCTCTCCACCTGCCGCTGCCTCTGCCTCTATTGCTGTCGCTGCCGTTGCCTCTACCCCTGCCCCTCTCTACCGCTAGCGCTGCATTTGCTTCTGCTCCACCTAGCACTTTGCAATTGTTTGCCTAATTAAGAAAAGTGCTGCACCTGAGATACCCTGTAATTGGGTATTTGAATTTTTAGATGATTTGTGTAACACCTGAGCGAGAAAATATATAATTATATGTAATAAYTATATATTCTATATTCAATTGATTTCTATTTATCAGATCACAATAATTTATACATGTATGTACATATGTATATACCTACATACGTATATAGAGATACTATCATCGCTTAAGTTTTGAGCTCTTCCATTAAAACTTAATGCTTATAAAACTTTTTGAATGCTTTATCATGTCAACAAGATATATATATATGTACATATAGATATTCATATCATATATATATATATATAGAATATTTTGATTAAA